TTTTTTTTATTCCCTAACACCTAAATCCCAAACTTTGTCAACGCAATCATAATCAAGTGGATCATCAGAAGAGTATAAAAATTCTCGCAAGAAAAGTCGATGGAAATAATAAACAAATGTATCGCAACCATTTGTTAAAACCGGCTGGCTATTTTTTAGATTTACTAATACCGCTGAATCCTAAAATTTGTTAACGCAATCATAATCGAGTGGATCATCAGAGGAAGATGAAAATTCTCGCACCGAGGAAAAATTGATAGAAATAATAAATAAATTGATCACTCACCGGCGTTGGATGAAAACAACTGAAAAATCAGGGTTTTCACCTCTCGTAACTCCTCTGCAAATTCTCCTGCAAGTCTCCTCCTCAGCAGGTGATCCTCCTCTTCGAGTACCGCATTCTCACTTGGTCCTTGGCACTTTTCACTATTTTTATTTCACACACAACACTTCGCAAAAAAAAGAAAAATAGCTAAATTCTTTAACACCAAGAGATCCGCAAATTCACAATAAAACCGAATCAATAAATGGAAAATAATTTTAAAAAACGCGCACTGAGGATAATAAATAAAATTACTAGTGATTTTTTGTAAAGAAAAAAACAATATTTAAAAAACCGCGCACTCACGATATCAAAGAGCACGCCATCTCGCGTGTTTATGTGTACATCGATAACAATAAACTTTCGAAGATCACTAACACTTTTCACACCACCACTTTCACTGTGGAACCCTCCACAATCGTCTCAACTGCAATTGTCTAATTGTCAAATACATTCACCACAATTTTCAGTGAATAAAAAATTCAAAAAATCCTTTAGGGTTTCTAGGATTTTTCATCCCTCCAGAATACTCTAGGAGGCGTCATCTCACGGTGAGACTGACGTGTCCCCTTGCACCCAGATGCAACCAGAGAGGATTGACTAAAGTAGTGGCTCAGTGCCTCGTAATACCCCAAGAGGGGGAGGGCGCCACACGCGATGAGGGTGTCTGCCCGTCTGCCGACTAGTCGACGGAATGAATGTTATTTTCTCCTTTACGAAATTGAAAAATTCCAAATTTCCAAAAAAGTATCAGGGGAGCATGAAAATGTAGAAGGTATTCACTGAAATTTGAAAATTCGAAATTTTTAGAAAAGCATCAGGGGAGCATGAAAATCGAGCAAGTATTCACTTCAATTTGAAAATT